ATTGGTTTTCTGTTGAGTGCATTCGTGCCACGTTTATTCTATTTATATTTCACCCATGGGATTATTTCAAGTAAGTACCCCACTTTGCCTTTTGAGATTTTTGTTAATATTTAGCCAACACATCACACTCATCTAACCCATTACTTTTTTTAGGTATTGGACATGGCCTTTGCTATGGACCAAGTTTTTCAAACCTCCCTCAATATTTCAAGAAACGCTTTTCATTGGCAAGTGGAATCACTCACACTGGAACACCTGCTGGGGTAATGATATACTCTATACTTTACAAGGGTCTTCTTGATTATTATGGTTGGAGAGGAACTTACATTATGATATCGGCTCTGAATTCTAACATCTTAGTATGTGCTGCTTTACTGAGACCAAGGGACAGTTGCAACAAAAAGAACAGCATGAAGACATATAAAACATTACCAGCTACCAAAACATTTTGCCAAAGACAGTTACAGTCATTTGGATGCAATCTGCTTTGTGAAAATAAACTATTCTGTCTGAACACCATAGGTGTGTTTTTGGGGAACTTTGCATACATAAATGGTTTATTGATGTTTGTACCATGTGCGATTGATAAAGGTTTGCCATTTGTAGAAGCCGCACTTTTAGGAACAATCGTTGGAATATGTGCACTAATTTCTAGATGTATACATGGAGCTGTTGCGTATTTACGACTTATTGATGACAGATACATAGCCGCTTCCATGTTGGTCATTAGAGGAGTGTCGTTTATGATTGTACCGTTATCAGGCTCTTTTGGAATGTTAGCTGTTTTGGCTGTTATAATAGGAATTAGTATAGGCATTTATTCCACAGCGCTTTATGTCTTTCTTGAGCAACTTGTAGGAGCTGAGAACTATGCAGGAGGAGTTGGAGTATCAGTGTTTGCATTTGGTGCTGCAGCAATGATGGCACCAAGTACAGGAGGTAAGTGGCTGCTATAGATGTTCACGTCATAAATGTGTTCAGTATAGGATAAAGCCCGATCACGAAGAATTTGGTATATAAGACCGACCCCCCAAAAACATGTTAAGACATTTTATTGCAGAATCCGAGTTGGAAGCTTTTTTTCTGACTTCAAACCTACTGGTCCAAATTATCTGTAGATGTATATTTTGTACAAAATGCATAGTCTGAGAAAGGACCGTGCCTCTCAAATATGCCTTTCAAATGGAATATGCCATAAAATCATTGACAATTTTTTACTCAATGCGTGAATGCAGTAGACATGTGGATTGTTTTTTTGAAATGTGTGTTCATTGTTCTCGCATAATTTGTATAAATTAGAGTCGTAAACGCAAGATCTGCAAAAGCAACTTATGAATATGCAATTCAGCCATAAATCCGCTTAAGTCTGAAAAAATGACAATAAAACATACTTAATGGTGTGTAATTTGAAGAAAGTATTAGGCTCAAAGTATCATTATGATAGTAATTTCAAACTGGGTGTAAAAAATACGAAAAGTTCAGTTTACTGGTATTCCCAGCAATACCAGTAAACTGAACTAAACAAAAATAAGGAAGAATGTGCATTTAATCAGCAACAACAATTATACAACATATACATTCCACTAACAATTCTATTCTATAAAATGTTATATGCTGTACTATACTTTCCATAGAAGAATTATTTACGAATATTCTGCCGTAAACGCAAGATATGCATAAGCAACTTATGAATATGTGTGACAATTATAGAATGAAATAGCCCATACTGACTGGGCAAGTACTGGATGTGTTACTAATTATCCACGTACTTCAGACGAGTAAGTCATAGGTGAGTGATGTGTTGTAATTTGTATTCGAGTGTTTCTGTTTATACATCATGTGCATTCTTTGTGTTTTATTTATTCTGTAGGTGCATTGTTTGACAGTACTGGTAACTATGATGCGCTTTTCTACTTCAATGGAGCAATAGCAATTATAAGTGGAACTATACATTTAATTGTTGCCTTGTTACTTAGACAGAAAGAAATTAAAAGACCGGGTGTTGATGAGGATGAATCACATGAAGTTTACTACTTATAATTGTCAAAAACATATCTACCAAAGGCTTTAATTTGTCAATCAAGATTATCTATTTACTTTTTTTCTAATCACGAGTAGGTAACTATAGTAACTTGGACAAAATTACTGCCGAGATCTTGTCGATAGCAAGAGAGTCACAAAATACTGGTTTATTCTCTCAACTCCATATACCATGGTTACATATGGAATTGAGTCCCAAACGATGATAACAACAAACGCTAAAACGCAAAGGTTCATGAGTAGACGCTTGTTTGTAAACAATGACACGGTATGGCCATCTGACGCATGCTGACTGACGACTCCCCCGCTTTAATAAATGTAAAGGTCGTACACATTGTTTTATTGTCTTTAATTGTTTGATAGTCATAATCTCGGCACATTGAATGCAGTGATTGACGGAGAAACATTGCTTGACATATAAATTACGGAGATCAGTTTGGAGGCAAGACTCTAGAAACCGACGTAGTAGCAAGATGTGACTGAACTGAGACATACAATGATTCGCCATTAGCACATTGCAATA